TTGTGACACACCAGAGGACTCACACAGGAGAGAAACCGTATGAGTGTCCAGAATGCGGGAAAAGTTTCAGTCAAATTTCCAGTCTGATAACCCACCAGAGGATTCACACAGGAGAAAAACCGTATGAGTGTCCAGAGTGTGGGAAAAGTTTCAATAAGAATTCCCACCTGGTGACACACCGGAGGACTCACACAGGAGAGAAACCGTATGTGTGTCTAGAATGTGGGAAAAGTTTCAGTCAGAATTCCAGCCTGGTGACACACCAGAGGACTCACTGCCTTGATAAAGGCTAACTACCTGTTTCTGGTGATCAGGAGAACTTTCTGGATATTTCCTTTTGCCAAAGTGTAGAATTCTTCAAAAAGGTTTTGGGTGGTTTTTAAAGATTTATTATGGAATTTCTATCTTGTACCTTGGTATCTTCCAGATTTTGAATGCCGGAATATCCCAACCACCATTCAAGTAGTCCTCGAGATATAAGGGTAATGGGGCCTATCAATTATGGTTTTATGTTGCAATCACCATTAAATGGGGCTGCTTTGCTTAACTACCCCCACCCCCTTCTTTCCCTGATGAAGCTGTTCAATGAATGTGTGAGTTATTAAGTGGAATACTGGCTACCTGAGATTTGTAGGCATAGCTCAAGCCCAGGCTTGCATTCCAAAGGCCTCCTCAACCTCAACCCTTTGATCACCTGAGTCCCTTTTCCACAGGGTCCCCACTGGCTTCTTCCTCCTCCCCCCCCCCTGCAAGATCCCCACAGGCTTTTCCCCGCTCCCACTGGGTCCCTGCAATCCTTAGACCTGACTCCCACCCTTGAAGGCCTCACAGCCTCCTCTTCCTTACCTTTTGAAGGTCACTGAACCTCATTTTGGGGAAAGAGGGCAGGACATGCATCCCTGGCATGACTGTATTGTGGAATCAGCCGTCATTTTCAGTGTGCCTGGAATTCATTATGGTGACAGGGATCAAACGTGCCATCAGTCATGAGTCCCTTCATGCCCACAAGACATTTAAGTCCAGCCCACCTTGAATTTCTTTGACTCTTATCTATTTCCAAATTGCTTTGATCATTGTTCAGATTCTTGCAGAGATCTTTAGCTTGCAATAAATCTTTACACCCACTTGAACAGCCTGGATCTTCTGATTTCCCTGGTGCTTGACAGGGAGGGCACTTTCTCTCCCCCCCTTCCCGCTCCCAGTTCCCTATTCCCCCCATACCAACCCCCAGCAGGCCTGGGAGCAAGCAGCCAAATTGGAGAAAGGCTTGCAACTCTCATCCAAAGAGCCCCTCCCTGGAGAGGAATTCTGAGGGAGGGATCCTCCCCTAGAGTTCCTCTCCTGTTACTCATCCTCATCAAAGCATTTTTTCTGGATATTTTCCCCCCACCCCTGCCCCATGTTTTTTCTGCCCCCATTCTTTGCCCCTCTGTTCTGTGCAGTCCTCCTGTTGCCTTCCCTGTCCCACATTCTTCCCTCAGACCTGGTGGGATGGTAAGTCTGAGCTGGGCTGGATCTTCCCTGCAAATCAGCTGATCAGAGGGTCCCAGGCAGGAGGGACTGAGCCCCAAAGGAATTGCAGGCAACCCATGATTTCTCCATGGATACCTTGGAGAGACAAGTCACTAGAGGAGGAATCTGCAACCTTGGACCCATTTCCCACAGGAAAAAACAACAACCCACGAGCCACGTGGGTCTGTGTGGCCAATTCGACATCACTCCCATCCAGCCACATGACCTCCACAACCACACCTACCCAGGTTTTGTGGCTCCCAATATTTTCTTTTAAACAGATATCTCTTTCTTTCATCTCTTTTTCTCTCTCCTCTCTCTTTCTCCTCCTCTCTTCCTCGTCTCTCTCATTTCTTTCTTTAAAAAAAAAAGTTTTATTGTTTTTTTAAGACAAACATAAAAAAACACAACATAAAAACATCAAACCATCTTCCATATATGCACATACAGTGTGTCGGTTGTTTTGTGCTTCCACTTCGTAGTCTTCAATTAGAATTACATTTTATATGTTCTTATATTGTCAAATATTCCTAAATACATTAATATAATTATTAATCAATCATTTGACTATACTATTATTCATTCATGTTTTACAAAATAATCCATATTTTACTGAATTTATTTTATGACAGTTCATATTTCCCTCTCAAATCTATCCTATAATCATTTTGTAGATATAATAAAAAATACAACTTTATATATTCATTATGTTCTAAAAGTCTACATATTTCATTACTGTATTTTATTGTCTAAACATTGATAGAAAAGATCCCAAATTTTATAAAATTGTTTATCTTCTTGTTCTCTGGTTTCAAATGTCAATCTACTCATTTCAGCACATTCCATTATGTTCTTAATAACTTCCTCCTGTGTTGGTATTTTCTCATTTTTCCAGTTTTTAGCAAATATGATCCTAGCCGCTGTTAATACATTTACAATCAAATATTTCAATTCTTTACTATTTATTTCAGGTAAAATTCCCAATAAAAATATTTCTGGTTTCAAATCTATATGCTTTTTTGTCATTTTTTCCAACCATGTGTTGATTTTAGTCCAATATTTTTTGGCATCCGCGCACATCCACCACATATGGTAATATGAGCCAGGTATCTGATGACATTTCCAAAATTTTTCAGACTTGTTCTTGAACATTCTTGCTATTCTTGTTGGGGAAAAAATGCCACCTGTAAAATGTCTTATACAAATTTTCTTTATATGCTGTTAACATTGTCATTTTATAATTTTGAGACCACAATTTTTGCCATTTCTCTAAATCAATCCCATATCCAAAATTCTTCCCCCAAGCAATCATTGTTTCTTTAACTTGTTCTTCTTCTAGTTTAATTTCTAATAAATATCCATACAATTTTTAAATCGCTTTTTCATCAGTACCTGTCAAAATCTTATCTAAATCAGTCAATTTTTCATAGAAAACCTTCTGTTTTAGAATCTTTATCATACCTAGAATGTATTTGCACATATGAAAACCAATTAATCTTTATACCTTGTCCCTCTAGTTTTTGCATAGATTTAAGTTCACCCTTTTCATTCAATATTTCACCATATCTAACTGTTTGTTCCTTTTTGTATATTATAGGATAAGAAAATGCTTCAATAGTCGATAGCCAGACCGGAATTTTCAAATAACATTGCCTTTTAGTCTTCTCCCAATTTAACCACAGAGACTCCCGTATATAACGTCTTCTAAAATACCCCTGTGTTTTAGTTCCTTCATACCATAAAAAAGCATGCCACCCCAACAACAGATCATGTCCTTCTAATGTCAACAATCTAGCATTTCTTAATGTTATCCATTCCTTAACCCACATCAAATTTGTAGCTTGGTAGTACAACTCCCAATTAGGCAAACCAAATCCTCCTCTTATTCTAGCATCTTGCAAAAGTTTTAATTTTATTCTTGCTTTCTTACCTTGCCATATATATTTCAACACAATTTTATTTAAATCTTCAAAATAATCTTTTCCAAGCCTAATTGGAATTGTTTGGAACAAACATAAAATTCTGGGTAATATATTCATCTTGATTGTTGATATTCTCCCTGTTAAGCCTGGATTCCCCAACGGGTGTTAAGGAAAACAAACTAAACAGAATGTGCAGCGAAGTCAGATAGGAAGACAGGTAAATGTGTGAGATAAGTTTTCTAGTTAACACGCAGTAAAAATACAGATACGCTTGTGCTATCAAAAATATATAGTTTATTCCATTTAAGAATTATAGCATAGTCAAAATAAACAGTCCATTAGTCATATATCAATTTCAGTCAAGTCTTGTCGGGGATACTCGATTTGCAAAGTCCGTGTTGAATAGCCAATGTCAGTACACTTACAATAAATCAGTCCAATCTTATCTTCTCTCCGTTGAGAAAAATCAACACTCCTACAAGAACGCAGTCATCAATCCATCCAGTAATTAGGGATCAGTAAGCCAGAGAGCGAGCGAGCTGCATTTGCCTCGCTTCATATATAGTGCTTTCACAACCACACCCTTAATTACATTCTTGCTGTTAAAGTTACACACACTTTAACTAACAAACCATGATACCATATTTATTATTTTTACCCAAACCAGTTAGGGTAAACAATGTTATCCCTAGCACTCCCTATTAATGACAGTTGTAAATTTTCCCATTTCACCAAATCTAGCGCTATTTGCTGTTTAAATTTAATATAGTTATTCTCTTTTAGTGTACTACATCTTTCTGTCAAATGTATCCCCAAGTACTTGATCTTATTCGTGACCTGGATTTTTAATACATCCACCAGTTCTTCCTTTTGTCTTGATAACATATTATTTGTCAGAATCTTTGTTTTGTCTTTATTTTCAAACCGACCACCTTCCCATATACCTCTATCTTTTTTATCAATTTTAATGCTGTTTCTAGTGGGTCTTCTAAAATAAAAACCAGATCATCTGCGAATGCTCGCAACTTAAATTCTTCCTTTTTAATTTTCATCTGTTTTATATCATTTTCTTCTCTAATATTTCTATTTAGCACTTCCAAGGTGAACCCAAACAACAAAGGTGACAGTGGGCACCCTTGTCTTGTTCCTTTTCTTCTTCCCATTGTTTTGCTTCTTAAATGCTTCAGTTAACTCCATCATCGTTATATTGCTTTCTAACATTATTTCAATCTCTTTAGGTATCTGGGGTAGATTAGCATTATGTAAGTACTGTTTAACTCTTTCCTCGTCAATGTTCTCTTGTGTGTATAGTTTCCCATAATAGTCTCGTATAATTTCCTTCTTCTCTTTACTTCCATAGCAAACTTGGCCTTGATCATCTATTAATTGCAATATTTTCCTTGATTCTTTCTCCTTTGTCAGTTTATATGCTAACCATCTACCTGGTTTATTTGCATCTTCAAAATAGTTTTGCACCTCTGATTTTCTGTGCTAATTCTTTTTCCATTAATCCCATTTTATGTTTAATTATGTCCATTTTTAACTTAATGTTCTTTTTCTGTGGCATTTTCTGTAACTCTTTTTCAAGTCCTTTATACTCATCCTCTAATGTCTTAGAGTCTAGTCTTTTCGTGGTATTTCTTTTCCTTGTATAGTCTATTATCAAGCCTCTGGCATATGCCTTCATTGTATCCCATACGTTCTGCATACGTTCTGGGGTGGATTGTGATCTGCCCAAGTACTTGTTTCAATATTTATTTCTTGAATATTAGCTAACAATTCTGTTGACATCCATATCATATCTATTCTGGACCATGATAAATGTCTATTTGAGTAGAAGGTATATTGTTTAGTCTTAGCATTTCTTTCTGTCCATGTATCTTTTAAATTTATATCATCTATCATTTTAAAAAAGGATTTAGGGAGAGTCTTTCTGTTTTGCTTTATTGTTTTCTGTGTTGTATAGTCCAATTTATTGTCTATAATTCCATTAAAGTCTCCCATCATAACTATATTAGCATAGTCCAGTTCAATTATTTTCATATGTAGTTTTCTATAAAATTCTTCTTGATTGTCATTCGGGTCATAGATTGCAATCAGTGTTTTCATATTATTGCCCATTATTTCCACCATTAGTATTCTTCCATCGTCATCGGAATAGATCAATTTCGCTGGGATAATATCTTTAATGTATAAAACCACTCCTCTTTTCTTACATTGTGTCAAAGAAGTAAATATTTTCCCTAACTTTGGCTGTATCAACAGTGGTTCATGTTGCTTTTTAATATGTACTTGTAGGCAGATTATATCAAATTTTAATTTCTCTAATTTATGGAAAGTTTTCCTTCTTTTAACAGCTGAGTTAAGTCCGTTTATGTTAATTGTAATCAGTTTTTTCTCTTCCATGATTATACTTTATAGGTAGGTTTGCAGCTCTCGTAGATGTTGGTTCACGTTGTTCTTTAACTTCCACCTTTCCGCCTACTGCACCTTCTTTTTCAGTCGCTATTTGGCAGTCCTCTTGGAATTCAATTAGTGACATTTCTTTTTCTGTCTCCTCCTCTTTCCCTCCAAAATATATTGTGTAAAATAATTCAGCTTTCTCAATTGAGTCAATTCTGTGTCTCTGTTCTTGCCATATGAACATTAAACCTTCTGGAATCAGCCATCTATAATTCACCTCTTTTTAAAGTAGAATTTTAGTCAGAATCGGTATTCTCTTCTCATCTCTCTCACTCTTCCGGGTATTTGTTTCAGGACCACAATCTCTTTATATTTCAATATTTTCTCTCTTGCCACTTGCAATATTTGCGTTTTAATGGCTTTCTTTGTAAATCTGATGTGAACTTCTCTTGGTAAGCTATTTCTCATTGCATATCTTGTGAAGACTGGAAAAACCTCGTCTATTCCATCCATCATCTTCTCTTTGATTATTTCCAGAGTTTCAGCCAAGATTTCTATCATCTCAGCTAGGTTTTGTCCCTTTTCTTCCTCTGTGTTTTGGAATCTGAGATAAAATTCTGATCTGTCCATCTCCCATCTCAGCATCCCACTTTTATCTTGTTCAACCACAGTTAATCTGCTGTCAATATATTCCAGTCTTCTTATCTCTTTGTTTATCTTCTTCAATTTTTTGGAATATCTCGTCATACTTCATCATCATTTGTTGAATGTTCTCCACCTTTTCATCAGTTTTTCCTGTTCTTTGTTCAATGTTCTCTGTTCTCTTTTCAATATTCTCCGTTCATGTTTGTATATTTTGAATTCCTTGCATAATCATCTGCAGGGTCACTTTTTCCTGTTCTTTTTCTTGTTGTAGCATTGTCTGTATTGAATGTTGTCCTCCAGATGATGAAGAAGAAGAAGTAGAAGTTGAGGAACCAGGGGCTGTTAGTTTCCTACTGATTTTGGACAATTCAAAATCTTCAGGTTCTTCTAGACCTTAATCCACTTGTGAAATAACCAATTGTAATTCCAAGTAAAAATAGTAGGAAAAAAGAAACCAAATAGTAGCAACAACAACAACAACAACAATAAATTTCTTCAGGTTAGACCCAGTTGACTTTTTCTATTCTTTATTTTAGATAGAAAAAACTCAAAAATGGAAGAAAAGACCATAAACACACACAAAAAAGAAAAAAATGTTAAATCCTGAAAAGGGCGGAAAAGTAAAAAGTAAAAAACTAAAAAAGAGAAAAGTTCTTCAGGTTCTTCAACACCTTAATCCAATTAAGAGGTCTCAGGTATAAAAGAATGCATAAGAAAAAAAAGAAAGCCACAAAAATAAAAATAAAACAATATGGAAGGTAAATAGAAAAAAATACAAGGGAGGGAGAGAGAAAAAAGAAAAGAGACTACTCCCTTAAAAAGAAACGGAAGGAAATCATTAATATTAAAGTTTTCCCTTTAAAATCAAATGCAAATGTAAAAATTAGACTTCAAAAGACAAAAAGAAAGACAAAAACAAGTTCCAAAAGGCCAAAAATCCAAATAGCTATTACAAAAAGTAAACTAGTAAGGAGGAGGTTTGTTAAAGTAAGAAATAGCCCAGCTTAAAAAATAAAATAAAAAGAGCACACTGCACCTTGTTTGATTATCCAAGGCTTTTGTTAAAGTTTATAACTCTCTTCTCCAGAGTCTTATCACCTTTTTTTCCCCTATAAGCTTCAACACCAGACTCTAGCTATTTATAGAAACCCAGAAGAGCACCTGCAATAATACTCTCCCATGGTCTTCCCTCTAACTTATCAAACAGCAATGTCCTTGAAAAGAAGTCTCAGTTCTTTCTCAGCTTTGTCTGGTCAAGAAAAAGAGATAGAATATTTCCAAACCTCTAGTTGGCAGTGTTACAAAGTTTCTTTTGCTTTCACTTTCCCCCTCCTTTTCCAAACAAGATATAACAAAAATTAATAAAAAAGGGAAAAAGATATTTAAAAAGATGACGACAAGAGAGTCTCTAGCCTAGAATATTATAAAGTCAAAAAGGAGAGAAAGAATAGGTGAAGGAAAAAAAAAACCAGTCCAGTTTCAAAATATAAAATCATGTGTAGAAAATCCAGAAATGAGAAAAAAATAAAAATATTACTTTGATATTCCTGTTTAAAATCGCTGCTTACTCACTTCTGTCAAAACTTTTACAGATTCTTTCTTTTCCTTAGGGTGTTCTTTGAAATCTTAAAGTAAAGAAAAAGTTCTCACCAAACTGGCACACTTTCTCTTTCCGTTCTCTTTTGTTTCGGAGCTGTTCCAACTTCAGCAGCTTTAATGGCTGCCTCTTTGCCGCTGGCAAAAAGAGCTTCTCCTGGATCTACTAGGGACTTTGCGGTATCCCTGGGATCGACAGGATGCGCTCTTTACATTCACCATCTCTTCGGGACGGTTTAGATCCAATTGGACCATCCAGGAGCAAAGATATCGGGGACCATCCAGGAGCAAAGATATCAGCAGCGATCTCAGACCTCCAAGATCGCATGCCGTATCGTCGCAATGCCAGCTCCGCCCTCCCTGGAGCACACCTTTTCACTCTCTGGTGCTTGGCAGCCCTATTGCCTCTGCTGCCCTCCTCCACGGCCCCAGCCATCGCTGCCCCATTTCCTCAAAGGTGTGGCGCATTTCAAAGGCTGTAGCTCACATCTGGAGGTGCCAAAGAGTGTCCCGCTGTGAAAGCCAGCCCAGGCCACTTTGCTCTTTGGCTAGTCAATGGGGGCGCTTCTGCCGAGCCAGCCCCCTCCCCGCTGGGCTTTAGTACTTGGCGCTTAGCCAGGGGAGGGAAGCACTTCACACCGCACCCTTCTTTCTCTTGGCCCCGCCGACTAGGGAGGGCCCCTGCCATTCTCTCCTAGCTCTCTTTGCTGCCGACAACAGCAAATATACCAGGCAGGATCCTGTTGTGACGCAAAGGCAAATGCAGGGGCTCTTCGCTCCTGCTCTAAGGCTCCGTCCATTGACCCCACCGCGACAGGGCAACAGCTCTTTCATCTTTCTGCCGTGACAGGGCCACGGAGCCACAGCAGAAGGGTGAAAGAGCCGCAGGTTGTCGACACCCGCTATAGGATCTCCTGCTTGTGCAAGGGATTGAACCACCTAGGTCCGTGATAGCGAACCTATGGAACACATGCCACAGGTGGCCCGCAGAGGCATTTGTGCGGGCACATGAGCCCCAGCCAAACTTACCTGCAGTGCGCATGCGTGTGCCTCCTAGATGATTTTCGGCCTGTTGGAGACCATTTTTGCCCTCCTGGGGGCTCGAGGGAAACCTCTAGAGCCTCGGGAGGACGAAAAACTGGCCTTTCGGAAATACTGGAAGTGCCAAAATAGGCCCTTTTTCAGTCTCTCAAGTCTCCAGAGGCTTCCCTTGAGCCTCTGGGGAGGGCAAAAATGGTCTCCCCCGGGTTCCAGAGGCCGAAAACGGACACTTCCGGTATTACCGGACAGCCTGCTTTTTGGCCTCCAAGGCTGCAGAGGTTTCCCTCAGCCTCTGGGAGGGCAAGAACAGCCTCAAACATGCCGAAAATCAGCTGGGAGGCACGTGCATGTGTTGAGGTAATTTCCCATTATGAGAATGAGTGCACACAGGGAGACGTAGTGAGAGTGGTGAGGTGTCAGCTGGTGCTCCATTCAAAATCCAAGAAAGAAATACTTAGACTCCATTAATTAGAGAAAAGATATCTTTTACTGGAAATCAAGTGGTAGCAACAAAAGAATTCTGAATCTGAGAAAATGGGCATGTAAATCATATATACAAAGTGATGGCAACGTTCCCACCCCCAATAGTTCAATTGGCTCATCCAATTAAAAGTTGTGTATATCATCATGTGGGCATCACCAGGTGGTGATGAGGCCTCTGTCCGTTGACCTTGACATATTTTGATCATGTGTTGCAGCTGCGCATAGCATAGGATAGAAGCCTAAGCAAGAACCTTCCCCCCCAACTTATATAGTTCTGTTTTGTAACACCTTCAGCTCACTACCCATAACTATATCCCCCCTCCTCCCCCCGTTATTTATGACAGCCGAAAGATGTAAAGCAAAGGGCGAAAATCTTGAAGGCTGACATTAGGAATAACACACAACCAGTACACAGATACACTGTATAATAAAATGTAAGTTTTACTTCCAGTAAATGGTTAATCAAAGTCCAACAAACAGTCCAAGTCATACACGGTTATAGCAGTCAGTTTTCAGTCCAGGAATAATCCAATAACAAAGTCCAGAATCAAAAACAGTTCAGTAATAGACTCACATCAATCCAAGAATAACGATGATCAGCAACAGTCAATAGGGAAATGCAGGAACCAAAAACAGCGAACATCAGAACATAGACCAACTAGCAACACTCTCTGGGAAACCAGGTCTTTGGCTCCATTTTATGGCTATTTGAGGAACCCCACCCCAATTACAATTTTAGCATTCCCTTAAAGAGACGGTATTAAAATGTCTATCCTGGTTTATATATTTCCAACCCAACTGTTAGGTGACTTACATTCCTAACATTCTCCCCTTTGGGTAGGACAATATATACAACCTTACAGTTTAAGTCCATAATCCTCATAGCAAGCCTTATGCTTTACAGAGCCTTGGCCTTTTGTAAAATGATCTGCAATGTTATTTTCTGACATACAGTATTCCAGCTTAATCATCTTACTTTGCACACATTGTCTTACATTTAAATATCTTAAATCTGTGTGTTTTGTTCTTGTCTTTACAGCAATATTGGAAGCCATCTGTATTGCTGATTGGTTGTCTTCGTAAACAACAATAGAATCCTACATCAATTCCCATATCAATCAATAGTTGTTTATAACAAACTAAATCTGTACATAATAAAGACAAACATGAGAATTCAGCCTCCATTGTTGATAAACTTAAATGTTTCTGTCGAATAGACCTCCATCCAATCAATACCTTTCCTAATAATACCACAGTACCTGATGTAGATTTACGTGTATTTACGTCTGTAGCAAAACTTGCATCGGCATATGCAGTTAAACTTCCTTCATCCTTAGGCTCCAAATATAATGCATAATGCATCGTTTGTTTCAGATATCTTAACACAGGTTTAGCAGCTTGCCAGTGCCTTTCAGTTGGCTGAGTATTAAATCTAGCTAATTGATTAACACTGTATGCTATATCTGGCCTTGACCAATTACTGAGATAAGATAAGCTACCAATCAAGGACTGATAAATATCTTTATCAAAAACAGGACTTTGTACATCACTGTGGCTAAACTCCTGGCTCATCAGTGTTTTAGCCGGTTTACAAAGTTCCATTTTAAAAAATTTTTAGCAACTGGTTGATTTTATCTGCCTGTGATATTTTGTATCCTCCCCTAGTTCTATCTATATTTAAACCAAAATATTGTTTGATTTCTCCTAACTGTTTTATCTTTTTTTTTTAAAAACAAGTTTTATTAATTTCAAAAACAAACAAATCATTACATATTTAAATCTTTTCCTGTCTTTCTACAGAGATTTCCCCAATATTCTCATAAAACACAAACAAACACAAACAAACATATAAAAAATCTTTTAGTAAAGCACCTTGGCCCCAGTTACCTCTCTTTGTATGGGCAATTACGCATTTCACTCTTCACAATTCTATCTTATTTAATCCATCTTAATTAAATCATTATATTTATATCTTTTGCCCATTCATTATCCCTCTCTCTCTTCTTATAATAAAAAAAAGAATTTCTCCTGAAATCACTAATCAGAGTATGATGCCTTTCTATCCTCCCCCTAAGTTAGTAAAATTAACATTCAAAATAACAAATACCCAATTTGATTCTGCTTGGTACATTCTATCCACCAAAAATGTTTAAATACATTGTATCCTCCTTTCCTTCAACATTTTGTTACATTTTAAAAATCAATCATTATTAAACACTTCAACATTTTAATTTCTTATTAAATCTTAAACCATTCTAATTTACTATTTCAAATATAAATGTTACAATACCATCTTATGTACCTTG